AGTGCTATCCTTCTGATGTCCTGGACGACGCATGATGGCAATTTGGTCAGGCAGGTTTATAGCTCCCAGCAAGGCTAATATTTCTGTCAGGTATTTAACCTCTTTATTACCTGAAGGCAAGAGTCCTCTTTCTGTCCACATAGCACTATGGGCACGGGCAATCATGAAGGTATACTTAGAGTCCGTATATATATTTACCCGCTTGCCCTGGGACAGTTCCAGGGCCCTGGTGAGAGCAATTAGCTAGGCCTTCTGTGTAGAGGTGCCAGCACGGAGGGCATGAAATTCTATTACCTTGTCTAGCGTCACCACAGCATACCTGGCTTTTCGCTGTTCATTGTCCAGGAAACCGCTCCCATCGGTGTAAAGTTCCCATTCAGGGTCTGTCAGTGGCAGGTCAGACAGGTCCGGTCAGCTGGAATAGACTGAGTGAAGAATTTCCAGACAGTCATGTGTTAGGCTCAGGTTCGAGTCAGAGACCGATAGCAGGGTGGCTGGGTTCAATGTCATGGTGGTTTGCAGAGTCACATTAGGATTGTCTAGTAAAGTACTTGGTATTGGTTCATTCGCCCAGCCGTTAGCCAATGCCCTCCCTTTTATTCTAATAAGGCCAGGACTTGGTGTGGTACAAACACTGTCACTGACTGTCCTAGGATTAATTTTTCTGCTTCTTGTAGGTTGTCAAGATAGCTGCAACTGCCCACAGACAAGGGGGCCATCCTTGTGTTGTTTGATCAAACCTTTTGGAAAGGTAGGTTATTGGTTGTGCTGAGTCTCCGTCATCTGGATAAGGATTCCTAACCCTATCCTCTGTTTTTCATGCATATGTAACTTGCACGGCTTCCAGGGATTGGGTAAACCTAGAGCTGGGGCAAATATTAATTTCTCTTTGATCATGCCAAAAGCCAATTGGCATTCGACCTCAGTATCCAGTCCCTTTAAGGATTCATAAAGAGGCTTAGCTGTGAGGCCAATGTTTGGGATCCACATGTTGGCCTGCCATACCTAAGAATCCAAAATCCTGCCATGCCTAAGAATCCCCTCAGCTGTCTCTTATTTTTAGGGACTTGCTTAGCTGCTATTGCTTGTTTTCTGCCATACATTTGGTGTGTGACTTCTTAATTGGCAAAATGGAGATATTATATGAGGACAGGCATGGCCGAATCAATCTGTGTTTCAGGAACTTTAGCAGGATTGAATGTATTCCTTCTAAAGCCTCTTTCAGGGGGTGTTTTTCTTTCTTTTTTTTTTTTCTTTAAAGATTTTTTTATTGGGGAATTGGGGGAGGGAACAGTGTTGGGGAATTGGGAAAGGGGAACAGACAAGTTGCCGTCCTTTTGTTCTTCAAGGGGGTGTTTTCCTTGAAGTGGCCTTATAGCCCCCTCCTTTAGCTTTATTTTTACTGGTTGTGTATCAATAGCTTTTCAAGGTGTCCCGTCTGCCCAAATGTCTGTACTCACAGATCTGTAGATCTCTGAAGGCCCAGTTTCTCTTTCTGCACTTTCCAGGCAGACAAGTGGCATCTGAAGCCGCAGGGCATGTTCTGGCAGAACCTGGAGGTGAAGCTCTTGCTTTTGGTGTGAGAAGGTTATTTGGGCATTGGGTTTACATACGAGATCCCCACCTAAGAGGGGAATCGGGCACTCTGGTACCTAGAGAAAACTGTGAGAAAATTTTAAATCTCCCGTTTCAGATCCTAAAGGTTGGAGAAAAGCTTTTTGCTGTAGTTGACAGTTATTCCTGCTACCAAAACATTTGCTGAGCTTTTGTTAGCCAGCTTAGTGTTTAATACTGAATAAGCAGTTCCAGTGTTTACTGAGTTAATTAATTTTTTTAGAATCATATTTTCATTAAAGCACAAAACACATTTATTAATAGATATTAATTTATCCTTTAACTGTCCTGTAACATGAAACCAAAAATTGAACTCAGACCCATCCAATAATTAATATTTCAGTATTTTGTTATTTTGGAATATCTAGACATTTAATAATTTTTATCATTACCAACCTAGAAAAATTCCAAGGTTTCAAGTCACCAAAAGAATTTGGGAAACCATGTTTAAGCATATATATATATATATATATATATATCATACATACATATATATCTATATAACAGTATTATTACTGAAAAGCTTCGTAACAACTTTTTTTTTTTTTTAAGTTGGAGAATTGGGGGAGGGGACCAGCCAAGTTGTTGTCATTGTTGTCTTTCAATCTTAGTTGTGGAGGGCGCAGGTCACCATCTGGCTGCCCATTGGCAGCTCATGGCCTCTAAACTCAAGGTGCCGTGTTCAATCTTAGTTGCAAGTGGGCGTAGCCACGATCTCATGCGGAGTCGAACCAGCAGCCTTGTTGTTAAGAGCGCAGCCTTGTTGTTAAGAGCGCATGCTCTATCTGCTGAGCCATCCGGTGGCAGCTCAGCTCAAGGTGTTGAGTTCAGTCTTAGTTGCTGGCGGGCATAGCCTGCCATTGAACAGGCAGTCTTGTTAGGAGCACATGCTCTCACCACCTGAGTCATCCTGCCACCTGTTGGCAGCTTAGCAACAGTTCAGCTCGGGCGCAGCGTCACTGGCCCACGTGGGAATCGAACCAGCAGCTCTGTTGCTCAGGGCTCATGCTCTTAAGCTAATTCTTAACCAACTGAGCCACTTGGCTGGCCTGTAACAACTTTTAATTACATCTATTAGTTCCTAATTCTGAGATTTCAAATTTAATCACTACCCAAGCTATATCCTTGATAAATTTAGTAACATAGATAACATAAATTTATTTTTACAAGCACAGGTAAAAAAGAAAATGATACAATATCTAATGTTAATACCTTAAAAGACATTTCTATTTAACCAAAAATTAAGCCAGCCTTAGTATCAAATATTTTCTTAGATCACATGATACCAAAAAGTACTTGAGTCAGTTTTCATTATTTAAATTTATATAAGTGTTTAATCTTTTTATTTTTTTTAGTTGTTTTTTTTCTTTAGCTGAGCCATTCTGCCACCTGTTGGTGGCAGCTCAGCTCGGGCTGGGCATCGAACCGCTGTTGCTCAGAGCTCAAACTCTTGAGCAAGCTCTGAGCCACTTGGCCAGCCCTCTTAATCTTTTTCTTTAAGTCAATCAAATATCATAAACTGGTAATACCATCTGGAGGCAAAAGCACTATATTGCATATAAAACACAGACAAGCACAGATATCAGAGATCATATACATATAAACATAACTATTAACAATTGCAGAGAGGACCTAGGATTTTACAATTGCCCCTACAATTTCAAAGAGGCTGGAACAAGGGGTTGGGGGTGGGGTGGGGGGTGTCTGGCTTGAAAATCAGCTGTTTGGTTTTAAAAGTATTTCTTCTTTTTTTTTTTTGGTTTTTCCTTCAGTTACCTCAGCCTCAGGCAGTAGTAGCTAGCTGTGTTTACCATTTAGGTTATCTGCAAGATCTTAACAGTCACTGAGAGTTAGAAAAAATACTTATAAGACCTTCACTTTTGCCAAGTTTCTAAATATAGAGTTGGTGTCTAATCCACACCCATTCCAAACTTTTAGGTGTTTGCAGCCATCATGCTGCTTCTAAACCTAGACAGGCTCACCAGTTGTTATGATTTCTTTTTCATGGTGGAAAGTGTAATCATTTATCTTTTACTTTACATAGACTATCACAACAAACCATTGACCATTGGGTTTGTAAAATTTTACTGATATGGCAGGCCCTTGGGTTTAAATGGTTTGCCTTCCACCCCTACCGACACCTCCAATGTATTAGTTTCTTCCTGCTCATCCAGTCCCATTAGCATGCTATCAATAAAGAGGACAGATATGATGTCCCTCAGTACATTCAGACGGTCCTGCTCTCAAGCTGGAAGAGTTTGCACAGCTCTGGGGAAAGACTGAATTTATAACATCATAAAAGCTCATCCCATTTTCTTGACCTTTGTGCAAGATAGTGTAATAATTCAATGACCCACTAAGAGGCCATTTCTCTTTAGAGTCTAATACATACATAGGCCAAACTGTATTACAGTAAAACACCATTTTCCTTCTTGTCATTGATTTATAAGCTGACCAATTAACAAATATATGATGCAGAGGACTCTCAGATGGTTTAGACACAGAGCCCTTCCCATTTTTAGCTTAAGACACATACAAAGGAAAATGAGGTAAAACAAACCACAGACAAACAAAAAAAACACAAATTACATACAGACAAACAAGGCCAAACATGAGCACTCACAAACCAAATCCTCAACAGTAAGGAGCTGGGGGTCAGAAAGAACCCAGTCTCCCACAAAAACCAGTACCTCAAATGGGCCTCAAATGAGTACCCCAAATGGCATCAATGCCCCAACAGAAGACAGGGGAACCTGTTCTCCCACCAAAACCGGTACTGCAAATGGGTCTCAAGAGGCCTCAAATGGCATAAAAGCCCCCAAATGGTACCAGAGATAGGCCTCAAATGAGGCCCCCAAAAGCATATATGTCCCAATGAGAGACAGAGGATTTCCGGTGTGCTCTCAGGTCTGACAAGTCCCAGACTTCAAATGGGCCTTGAGACCCCAAATGACATAAAAGTCCCAAATGTTATAAAAGCCCCAAACAGGTATCGCAAATGCGTCTCAGATGAGGCCGATATTAACCCGTGGTTTCCAGAACCAGACAACTGTTTTCTTTCCACCAGCTTAAGCATTTATAAGCAGTTGATGCCAGGAAGGGAAGAGCTGAGAGAAATCCCCGAAAAAAACATAATTCTTGACAGCTGCTGGAATGTCCCTGCAATCACCTCCCCAGCACCAGCCTGCCACAAGCAGACGTGGATCGGATGGGCTGCTGTGTTCCATCCCCACTTCTTCCCTGGGGAGAAAAAGAGTGAACTCACCAGCTCTGGGTCTGGCCAGATCCTATCCCTTCGTAGTTGCCAATTTGTTACTGTGTAAAAGGTCCGACTGTTCACTGCATGAAAGCCAAAACTTGAGAGGTGAGGTTGGTGGGAAGAAAAGCAGATTTTTTTTCCAAAATGCCAGCATTAAGGGAAAACAGTGGACTCCTCTTCACCAAGACTGCCTTCCCTCTCTTAATACTGCCATAAGGTTTTATAGGCATGCAAGGAGAGGCAAAACAAAGGAAAAAGGAGAAGCTGGCCAGGCAGCTCCAGGAAAAAGTGCTTCCCAAGGGGTTAGGTCTGCCACAGAGTCAGAAGCGGATCCCAAACAGATGCAAAAACTTCTCCCAAGTCACTGGGCCAGACATGGGCCTGAAGTAAACAGAACCATTGGAAGTGGTTTGCGTAGTAAATGTACAGTAAACAGTGTCATCAAGGTTTGGCAGGAGGGAAGGAAAGCAAAGAAAGAAAGAAAAAAAACTTTCAAAAAGTCCCAGCCAAGCTGTTGTCAAATCAAATTACATCAGAGGTTTAAATCTCAAAATAGAAGGTATAGGGTCACTGTTACAGGTCCATGAACCATGACCTTAGTAGCGCAGGGGACGCCTTCGTAGCTAAGGGTCAGTCAGTTTCTGTAGTTTGCTTCCTCAGGTACGTATGCGATAAAGGATCAGTTAAGTCTGTAACCCAGAGTTGGAGGAACACTTCGTTTAGAGATTCAGGGGGACGCCCCTCGACCTCTTGTCCAGCTATCACGAGCCACTGGCCCGCAGTCATGGGAGGTAGCCCCTCTATTCCCCAAGACTCTTCTCTCCACTGTCTTCTTAAACATTAGAAAATATTTGGCCTCTCCTCTCTCAAAAAGAAAAAAAATAGTTTTCTTTCGTAATGACGCCTGGCCTCAATATAAATTAGACAATCAGAAGGTCTGGCCCGCCAACGGAACTCTTAACTTTAACATCATGCAACTAGACCTCTTCTGTCGGCAGCTAGAAAAATGGTCCGAGGGCCCCTATATCCAAGCCTTCATGATCCTGGACCTCTGGAAACATTGCCGCATGTGTTTGGCTAAATTTTCTCAGTCTACCTCCCCGACCTCCTTGATGATTCTCTCTTATCCCAAGTTCCCCCATGGCCTGAGACAGCCTCTGGACGTTCCTCCTCCCCAGGCTTCAGCACCTCCTCCTTCCTGTCCCTCCACCCCATCCATCCCTTTTCCTGTCTCCTATAGTCCCCTCCCTCTTACTCAGCTGGCCCTGTTTTAAGTCCTGCAGGGACCACCCACCGTGGGATTCCTTATAAAGGAGATGGTCTTTGGACTGGAGTCCGCCATACTCCCAGAGTGCTGGCATTCTGAATTAGCCCGCTTTTCTTTCCACTATCCTCATCTCTTGATTTTTAACTTTTTCAAGCAGCAGGCTGACCCCAGGAAGGTGATTGCAGGGACATCCAAGCAGCTGCTGAGAACTTTGTCTCGGGGTGAGGGTGGAGGGCTCTCCTGGCTCTCCCCCTCCCAGCATTAGCGCCTATAAACCCCTGAGTTGGTGAGAAGAAAGGTGACTGATAGAATTTAGAGACAGCGGGTTAGTAAGTCTCTGTGAGTGCTTACCTGGTTTTGGTTCTGGTTTGTTTGTGACTTATTTGTTTTATTTTTATTTTTTGTTTCCCTCTAGTCTTTCCTTTCTTTTTCTTCTTTTTCGTTTTCTAAACCCCCACCTTTTCTTTCAGCCTCCTTCGAGCTGTCCTCTTTGCAATTGTCTGTTTATAAGCATGATCTCTGATATCGGTGTTTATGTTTTATATGTGATATAATGTCTCTGCCTCCGGATGGTATTACCAGATTATAATATTTGATTTGCTTAAAGAAAAAGATTAAGCACTTATATAAAGTAGAAATAAAAAAAAAACTGACCCAAGGGGCTGGCCGACTGGCGCAGTTGGTTAGGGCGTAAGCTCTGAGCAACAGTATCGCGGGTTCTATTCCCACATGGGCCAGTGAGCTGCGCCCTGCCCCCCCCCCAACTAGATTGAAAGTGGCGACTGGACTTGGAGGTGAGCTTGTGCCTTCCACAACTAAGATTGAATGACAACAACTTGACTTGGAGCTGATGGGTCCTGGAAAAACACAATGTTTCCCTTCCCCAATTCCCCAACACTGCTCCCTTCCTCAATTCCCCAATAAAATCTAAAAAAAAAATTAAAAATGACCCAAATATTTTTCAGGATCATGTGATTTAAGAAAATATTTGATACTAAAGCTGGTTTAACTTCTGTTAAATGGAAATGTCTTTTAAGGTTATTAACATTAAATATAGTATGTTGTTTTACCTGAGTTTGCAAAAATAAATTCATGTTATCCTGTTACATAGTTGATCAGGAAAATAACTTGGATAATTTACTTTAAAATCCCTCAGAGTTAAGAATTAATCAGAAGTAACTGAAATAAAGTTTTAAAGGAAACTTTTCAGTAATAATTATGTGATGTGGATGCTTGGACATAGTTTCTCAGTATCTGTTGGTAACTTAAGATTTTAGTTTTGCTAAGTTGTGTTAAATGATAAAAATTATTGAATATCTAGGTATTTCTAAACAATGAAATGCTGAAATATTAATTATTAGATAGGTCTGAGTTCACCTATTTCTGGCTTCTTGTCATAGGAATGTTTGACCCCATCCCTGACAGCCCAGTTAACTCCTAAATAGAAGGGACCTTATACAGTTCTTCTGAGCACCCCAATTTTCATTGGGCTTCAGAGTCAGTGGCTGGGTCCACTTCCCTCGAATCAAACATGTTTCATTTAAGTCTCCACAGGACTCCCCCAGAAAGGAAGACTATAGCACCTGTTTCTGTAAACCAATTAAAGATCTTAAGCTCTCCTTCAAACAAAACAAGCAAGTCAACCTCCCAGGACTGAGAAATATTGGGTTGTCGGAAAAGTCATGATGTGTTTTGTCTATGTTTTTCAAAGGTCACTTATTTATATAAAGAACAAAGATCAATCAATGATATATTGCCCGTTTTGTTTGATAACCTTTTGCCATCTTTCAGTGAGCTTCATAATTCCTTGTTCATAGAAGGACCTGTCTTTATTTGTGAAAAACTGAACAAGGTGCTGATCTACAGCCTCATCTGAATTGAACGTTATACCACGCAAGGAGTTTTGAAGAGAGCAAAACAAGTGGAAGTCTGATGGTGCAAGGTCAGGTGAGTATGGTGGGTGTGGCAACACATCCCATCCAGGCTCCAATAATTTTTTTTTTTAAGATTTTATTGGGGAATTGGGGGGAGGGTAACAGCGTTTGGGAATCGGGGAAGGGGAACAGACAGGTAGACAAATTGCTGTTTTGTTCTTCAGTCTAGTTGTGGAGGACATCGCTTCACTGGCCCATGTTGGTATGATCATTGTGCTCTTCCCAGGTGAGGCAGATCAGGTGCTGGTCATTGGTCAGCCGCTCACAGTGGCTGCGGGTAGCTCACACCAGCTACCAGCTGCTCACGCTGGCTGCCAGCCACTCACGTAGCTCACGGTGGCCCACTGCAGCCCTGTTGCAGCCTACGCCGTTGCCTGCGACTCATGGCAGCCCAGCTCTAGGTCGAGCTGTTGTTCACCATCTTAGCTGTAGAGGGCGAGCGTCACTGGCCCTCAATGTGGGATCTGAACCGCAGCCCTGCTGCTCAGAGCTGGCGCTCCCAAGTGAGCTCTTAACCAGCTGAGCCACTTGGCCCACCCTCCAATCATTTTTGATGGGTGATCAGACTTCTGTGTGGTCTCGCATTGTCGCATTGGAACACAACTCCTTTACAATTAAGAAGCTCTGGACGTTTCTGGATGATGGATTTGTTCAAACTGTCCAACTGCTGACAGTACACATTTGAATTGATTGTTTGGTTCCTTGACAGGAGCTCGAAAAACACAACACCTTTAAAATCCCACCACACTGAGAGCATAACCTTCCTCTGATGAATGTCTGCTTTCGATGTCGTTTGAGGTGAATCATCACATCAAGACCAAGACTGTTTGCACACCACATTGTTGTAAACAATCCACTTCTCATCACCAGTTATCAGTTGCTTCAAAAAAGGATCATTTTCCTCACGTTTAATGAGTATATTGCAGATGTTGATACGTGCTGTCAAATGAATTCCTTTGAGTTCATGTGGAACTCAAATATCGAGCTTGCTTAGGTATCCCAGCTTCTTCGGGTGGCCGTGAACACTTGAATGATATATGTTCATTGTTTCTGCAATCTCTCGTGTTGTGTAACATGGGTTTGACTTGATCAATGCCTTTATTTTGTTGTCATCAATCTTGGTGAGCCTCCCTGACCGAGGAGCGTCATTGAGATAAAAATCACCAGCACGGAATTTCATGAACCATCGTTGGCACTGACATTCCTGTAGAGCATTGTCACCATAAACTTTATGCAACTTTTCACAAACTTGACGTGTGTTCTTTCCTTTATGGAAGTAAAACAGTTAAAATATGGCAAAAATGCACAGTTGGTCTTCCATCTTCAACTTGTTGTAAAATCTCCAAAACTCAACCAAATCGCTCAATATTTTTTCAGAATGAAGCTAAAACTGTCAGCTGTCAAATGACATAGAAATAACATAGATGCAAATGACTCTAGTACTTCCAAAAATGAACTAACGCCATCTGTTGCAAACATGCATCATGACTTTTCCGACAACCCAATACTAATAACTAACCCCAGACTCCTGGAGCTGCTCCCTATTATTACCTCTCTCTTAAAAGCTCTTATTTTCCTCTTTAGTTGCACCCCATCTGGGATCCCCTTTTAATTCTTGGGGATCCTAGTTGTAGTCCCTTCTCTCACCTTTACTGGTTTCCTTCCTTATTATTCTTGGGTTACTTCTATCTGGACCATATCTTTTTAACCTTCTGGTTAAATTTGTCTCTTCTGGAATTGAGTCCATTAAATTACAGATGGTATTCATGCAAAGGCTTTGGTCCATCCCCGCAAATAACCCTGAAGTGGCCCTTTGCCCCATAGATCAGAGCTCCAATTCCCAGTCTGCAGCCCCCAACTCAATCCAATTTCTAGATAGAGCTGCCCAAATTTTCCGAGGCCCAGTCATTCCACCATCTTTGACCGGCAATCTCGTACGCAGATAGGGACAGCTCTATGCCCCTGCCCAGCTCTGAAACAGTTACGGAAGACGGACCCTCCTCCCGTTTCCAAAGACTTTTCATTGCTGATCAGAGATGGGGGATAATAAGACAGGGGGAATTGTAACGGTGGCACTAAATCTTCTATTTTGAGATTTCAACCTCTGGTATAATTTGATTTAACAAGTGTGGTTTTGCTTGGGGCTTTTTGAAAGTTTTTTTTTCTTTTCTTTGCCTCCTTTCTGCCAAAGCTTAATGACTCTGTTTACTATACATTTACTAGGCATATCAGTTTCAATGGTTCTATTTACTTCGGCCTTGTATGCCTGGCCTCCTGACTTGGGAGAGATTTTTGCATCAGCATGGGATCCACTCCTGGCCCCAACTTAAATTTGCATGACATATGTAAAGGTTGCAGTAACCAATTTAACCCCCGCACCTTCCCCCACCCTGACAAAGCCAAAGCCAAACACAATAGAAGATTCCACGACAGGCCAAAGCAATTTACATCCTGGTTAGAAAGTATAAAACTTCAGATGAAACAAAGACTCAGGGCAGTAGTCTCCAGCAGACTCTGCCCAGCCAACCCTTCTCTTACTTCGATAAATCTTCCTTCTGTGTTTCTACCTGCCTCGTGAATTCTTTCATAACCTGCTAGCAAACAGCCACACCATCTGGTTTCCAGTTCTGTCCCCCATCTTAAGTGACTTGTAAGCTCTGTGACTTTGTCTATCCACCAGTGCCATTGGGAAAGTACTCTTTGTCCTCCTAACTTTCCAGGTGGGGTGCAGGGGGAAGGAACATGGGGGTTTGGGATATGGTAAAGGAGCTCAAGAAACTGGACTCAAAAACAATGATATATATCTGTAAAGTGACCTCAAGGCTAGCGAATCGAGCTCATAGAGCTCTGTCATGCTCAGGAGTTAATATCCGCCTGGGTCATAACTCTGCTATGGCTGCTTCCTGCCATCTGGGTTAGAGCTGCCTGCCCATCCCATACCCACTGAGCCCTGTGGGAGAACATCAGAAAGGGTGGACAGGCAATGTTGACGAAAAATATCCAGCCTAAGAGAAAACTTATAAGAGTTTTTTTGAGTCAAACTGTCGACAATTGCCGCGAAGCAAAATCTCAACGGATTGAGAAAATGGTCTGAAGAATGGCGGTTTTACAGCTTATTTTATACATAAAATCAAAGGAGGAAGGTTACATGAAATCCATTGGTGGTAGATTAAGGGGGTGGAAGAAAGCAAAGCGGGAAAATCTCTGGGATTGGATAAAAGTAAATTGGAGAGACAGGTGCTCCTCTCATACAGGTGGGTGCAGGATAGCTAACAGTTCGCTTTTTACAGCACATAGAGATGGTAATCAGGAGACAAGTATAATAATGAGGAATTTTGCAGTTTCCAGCTCTGGTCCGGAAAAGGATTAAAGATGTTATCTTAGGTACAAAAAGAGAAAGAACAGGCCCACTGAAAAGACACAGATGAACTTAATGAGGAAGCTTGAGATGTGACTTCCTGCCATGGCCCACCTTAGTTAGGAATTTTTATGTTCACACCATCCTCTGTGGTTATTTTCAGTCTCCTGAGCTTGTCAGCTTAACATGTGACCCCTTTTCCATCCACAGCATGTTGATAATTCTTGACGTATCTCCTGGAAAGGAGAGTCCCCACCTGATGCCAGGAGCCCCTTCCTTTGCAACATCTGGGGCAGCACTACCCTAGTCCTGCATTGTCATCCCATTTTTTCCAGAAGAAAACAGGCTCTGAGATGGGCTGGAATCAGGACAGGGGGCTTCCGTAAGGCACCCCTGGAAGTTAGGGTGGAAGTCCTCGTGGAAAGGTGAAATTATCTAGCTTCAGCACATAATAAGGATTCAATAAATATTTGTTGAATAAATGAAAGAAGGAATTTTCTGCAAGCCCAGCCCAAGGGAGAGTTTATAGATGTATTGCTTCTGGGGACTAGGGAAACACCCGAGGTCACTCAGAATTGTCAGTGTGTAGCCAGAGGCCTGAACAGACTGACGAAAGCTAGAATGCAAACCCCCACGCCCTGCCATCTGCTGAGGAAAAGATACGTGCATGGACACTTCCTTTTGAAACCTTTCCTCACGTCCCTGTACTGGCTTGCTCCCACGGCTCCCTCTGGTTCACCATGGTAACAATACACTGATCACAATAGATCGACATTGTTCATTCAGTTGTCAGTCTTTCTCCAAAGACTGTGAACTCTGTGAGGAGATTGGGACAGTATCTGTTTCCTTCACTTTTGTATCTCTACTACTTAGCCTAGTGTCTGACACTTAGTAGGAGCTAATTATAGATTTGTTGAATGAGTGAATGACTGTATGATGGAGTCTTTAAACAAAGCAGAGTCAGAGGGTAAGAGTTTTCCCCTCTGATACTTACAATGTAAGCACACAGTGGCAAGTTCACGAATTTAATTGTCAGACCTTCGTATGTCTCCAGCACTGTCCAGTGGCGTGGGTAGTCTGACCTGTTCTTAGGCAGGCAATTCCTAGAAAGCAGATGAGACATCAGGTTCTCCTTATAGCCAGGTGACAGTGACCATCAAGATCGATCAACTAAGTCCCCTTGCTAGGATACCATGCCTGTCAGAAAACTTTTGGTTGTAATTTTGTTCCTTCAGAGCAGAGAAGGCTAACTGACAGGCATCCAGGACTGCCTGCAAGTATATTTCTCTCTTTTAAGTGACTCATGACATTCTGGTTCTAGCAATTGGTCTAGTGTGAGTTTTGCTAACGTAAGTCAGTCTCCCCCAAGTCCCACTGACTTTCCATAGTAACAGTTGGCTTTCAAACAGGCTATCTGGTTTCACTCTTATAAAAACCATGTGATTTAGGCATGTTGCCCTTATTTTTCAGATGAAACTGAGGTTGACTGAAGTAAAATAACTTGCCTAAGGTCAAAAGAACTAGACGGAAGAGGCAG